TAGAGATCGCATCACTGGCGACGCTGCACCGATCTGTCTATTGATCTCATGCTCCATCCATCCTTCACTCCTGAACTCCTCCACTTGAGACAAGGACTCTCCACCAACCTGAAGAGGGGAGTCCATCTTTCCCCGTGGAGAATCGTGGCCTCGGATTTGGAGGTGCTGATTCTTTTGAGCTCAGGATCAGCACAATGTTTCCTTTGCTGATATGTTTTCTTTTTTAGTTGCTTTGCTTCGGACACATCTGAACATCCCTATTGTTGGACAAAGAAAGGTTAAATATATTCTATTTCAATAGAGTTAAAGGAATCAGTAAGGCTAGTGAGTATTTAGAAACTAAAAGTTAAATCCTTTTATGACCTAATGAGAATGAAAACGCCGAATCTAGTATAAAAGTGGAAACTGAAAATGCAATTTAACCACAAGTTAGAAGCATCCCGATGAACTAATAATATTACCGGCACCAGGCAGCTTGGATATAACAAGACGCCTCCCTGGAGGTCCCAATGGTGTTGTTTCCCCTCGCCGTTTCTCCAGGCCACATGATTATTTTAGCTCCAATAACAGTGGAGTAACAGTGGAGTTTGTCCAACCAGCCTGTTTGCTACAGACTGTCGGCCATTTGAACTTTTTTAAACTTTGGAGCCATGCAGCAAATATAAACGGTCACATGGGAGCCAAAGATGAGGAAGCACTTAACAACAGCAAGGAACCAGCAAACAGTGACTGAACATGAGGTGTATAAATGGGAGACTGAACAAAGAGCAGGCTAATTAGCAGATATGGAGCAGGTGTGGACAGAGGAGCCTAGAAGGGAGCTAGGGGAAAAGAGACTAACACAAGAGGGCAGCAGAGGGCAAACAATATCTAAGAACTCCAATACAATAAAAAATAACTAGAATAACAAAAAGTGGAAATGAAAGAAGTAAACTAGAAAACGGCATGAATCAAAGTATAACTTAAAACTCAAAAAAGAAAACTTGAACAGAACCAAAAAGTACAGAATCATGACAAGATGTCATGTAAATGAAAATCTGTTTTTTTTCGACACCTTAAACACACTACAAGTCCTTTTTATTACAGTTAATCCCTGGTTAGTATCACAGTTGTCAATTTACTTTTATCTGCTATTTGTTTTATTTAAAGGGAAACAAATTACTGGGTAGTTTGCTATTATTAAAATATGCACAGGACTGTGAATCATTTCAGACAAACACAATAAACATTTCTAGGATAATAGGGAGGACACAAAACAGGAGCAGTAAAAGAAAAAAGCACCATACCTAATTTAAAACATGGGGCATGGGAGGGCTTCTGTATGTCCATTTATAGAGGAGGGGGAGAACAAATCTGTCAATGTTTGGACTCATGGAGACAGCATGATCAGATGTTTTTTTTTAAGGAATTCATATGTCTAAAATAATCTCTCCCTGTTATTTGAATTTCTCATGCAATCAAACTGTGACTGGTGAAGTGGTTTAAACCACGTCTAGCAGCATACTTCACTGTCTATACCTGAAGGGCATCACAACAAAGCCTGCCTTCATGTCTGACACCAAGTCAGCCTTTTTTTTTTTCTACAGAAGATACATATGCATTGAACTGGCTAGCTCTACAGACATAATAAACCATAGTGTCTGCTGTGGGTCTGTAATTACTGTTTTTGTTCCTGGGGACTAAATTATTAACCGCACTGTACCATAGCAAGAGATCATTGTCAGATGTTTACATGAACAGTTTTTTGGAGCAAAAATAACAGTTTTACTTTGGAATCTTATGAATTATTTAAAGCTTCAAATTTTGATGGTACTGTCATTACACAGCTTAAAAATGCAATGAGTAAAAAAAAAAAACATAAGCAACTTATTTAAATTTCAATTTTCAAGTCTTTAAGTTTAAATAAAGTGATTTTCTTCATTGCAGACGGGCTTAGGCAAATACAAACAGAGCACTGCCACTAACATTTGGATAAATGACAAAGTTGCAGGGATACTAGAAGCTTTTAGTAGCCATAAATCAGCTTTCTGCATAGGTCTGTCTGAAACTTTGACCTCTTTCAAAAATCCAGATAAAAGAATTAGCTAAATTTGACCAGTTTAAGACAAAAATGAGGCTAAATTGGCCAGCCCAGACGTTTAACAATCCAAAAACTGTCAGTAAAGCTGAAGGTTGTACTTTGGCTAAGCAATAACAGACCCTCAGTACTACTTCAACTTTATTCTTTCTAAAACCAGTTTCATGGGCTTTGAGTTGTCCAATATTGATAATTTTAAGTTTAGTTGAAATATTAAGAGGAAGCTCTGCCCTCCTTCTACAGTAACACAGATGGTAAAACTATTCCACAGCATGATGCTGCCATCACCATGCTTAACAGGTTATAAGCTTTTAATTTTAAAGCCTCTCTTTAACCCTTCTAAACACACCTCTAGTCATTGAAACTAGGCCTGCAACTAACGATTGTTTTTCTAATTGATTAATCATTTTCTTATGTAATCACAAAGCCAAATGTTCTTTAAAGAAGAATTACAACTAAATAAAGCTAAAACTAAACCACTGGAGGTGTTCTGGAGAGAGCATATTAACAGACGAAAAAGGTTTTTCATCTTAAAACTTTTTTTTTTTTTTTTTTTTTTTTACAATTTTGCTGTAATTACTGCACTGTGAGTTGATCTAATAGCTAATGACATGTTCTAGAGTCTCTATATGTGAGTTTATGATTAATAAATTACTAAACTAGTTGACAATTATATCAATATTATATTAATCTGATTATTTCAGCCTTAACTGAAACCAAAGAGCCCAAACTCTGTCACATCAGACCATTACATCTTTCCCAAGAAGACGTTTGGCCTGTCCATGTCAGCAGCTTCATGTTTCATTTGTGCCACTTGTGTTTCATTTTGAACAGATGTGCCTATTTTGCACTACTTGCACTACTATGTTTTCTGTTGTTTATGGTGGCTCCACGATTTTTCCTTAACACTAGTTTACTAGTTTAATCACTAGTTTACTTTCTTCTTATCCTTTTCTATTGCTAGGAAGTAGTTAATATCCTTAAAAATGACAAGTTAAAACAGGATATATATCATTTTTATGTAGAAAGAGATGGAGAGGTGAACCAGCAGGATTTGAACCTGAAGTAAGATGCTCTAAATCCTGTAACGATGCTGATGTCTGGTGTTGCTGTATTTGGTGGGTGTGAAGGCCAGTTTATTATGTGCTTGATAAGTGGTCATAAATTGCTGAACTCTGCCTTTATAAACAAAGACAGAATCTAAAACTCTCCGTTATTAAACAGCAGAAATATAGGCATAAGATCTAGTCAGTGGCTCTGAATTATTACATTAAATTAAATTTAAAAATCCTTCAATAGAAACACACTAAAAAACAAATACTGCTTTACCCCTTTTCAGTTTCAACTCAGGTTTTAGATTTTATTTGTAGATCAACAGAAATACACAAACATACAAAGCATCGCATCTACTTATTAAGCACAGGAAAATAGGAAGGAAAAATTTATACAATGAAATCTAAAAAAGACCAAATCAGAGATGAGGATCATAAATGGTAACTAATGGTTACATATGAAACTTTAAATTGGAAGAAACAAACACAACAGCTATAACCTGCAAAGTGTATAAAAAATGACAAAATAGCTTTGAAAACATCCCCATCAGGGTAATTACATCAACCACAAGGGTTTAAAGATCCCAACAGAATCAGGACTGCTGCGTTCAAGGACACTAGAAGCTCTACAGAGAGCCGGTTTGTCTCAGACTGGTAGATGCTACTGTTTCTGAAACAACCCAAGACTTTAAAGTTTACACGTTTTAAAAAGAACGTTTAGGATCGGCCTGCGTAAATGTAATGTAATATTTCATAGCATTTTTATTTTATTTTTTTTGATCCGTACTTCTTTGAGACGTGATGTTGCAGATTAGCACCAACGTGCTTGTATTATCATCAACAGCTGGGTTCAGGTAAATAAAGAAAAGAAGTTGTTCATGCACGCCCACTGAGTCTTTGTCTAGTGTTATAGAACCAGAAGGAAGTCGATCCACTTCCACATGAGTGGGCGTTGAAAGAAAATGGATCAAAGCTACAGCTGTACTTTTCTCATTTAGCAACAGCTCTAATCAACATTTTATTATTTCCATTCTTTGTTTTGTTTCTAAAGCCATCAACATTATGAAGGTTAATGATCACAATTCAACACGTTTATGTTGTATATGTACATAGTCCTGAAAGCAATATAAAAAAAATTAAGACACTACTGTTATTTACATGCTGCGGTCGAACTACATGTTTCCCTTTATAAAAAAACTGCTGAAAACAAAACGGTCTCATATTCACATGTTATAAAAACACAAACCCAGACCACCCTGCAGTGTTTCTTGTCCTCTGATGAAAAAACTGGACTTGGGATAATCTTCCTCCACAAAAATTTGCCCAAACTGCTTAACTTCTCTATCAATCGTTTATCATTTAGATGTTTTTGTTCTTCTCAAGTCCTGAGAGAGCAGGAAGAGAGCATTTCTAAAAATAAGACCAAAGTTAAACTGTTAACAAAGCAGAAGTCTTTTCCTGCCCTCTGAACACATCAAAGCTTTTTGCAGAGTATTCACGTCACACTTATGAGTGTGCCCTATGTCATTGAAAAGTGTGAAAAGTACTAAAGCCTGTGAGATGTTTTCAAGTTCAGTTTTGAGAATATGTACAACCCAAAATGCTGCAGACATGCTCAGCAAAGTGGAGCTTCCTGAAGTTAATGCAATCCCAGCAGAGAACTGTTATCAAATGTGCTTCGGTTATATTTACACACTGGAATTAACAAGAGTGCATTTTGTTTCCTCCTGGTGAACTTTAAGGAGATCCTATGTCTCTCAGTGCTCTTGTCATATGAGTTTTAATTGTTTTTTTTTCTTTCTCTTTGGGAATCCTTCAGAATCAGACTCATTTGTTGATATTCTGACATTTTATCAGTGATGTAAATCTTATTCGTTTTCAGCTTTTTTTTTCTTTTTTTTTTTACATTTCACGCTCTTACTATCACTAAAACACAGCCTTACATTGATCTGTTTGTCTCTTTAACCAGAATGATAATTGCATTTAAAATACAAAAGCATACAACCATAACAGATATTCCTACCCTCTCTGCAGTAACGTCCTGCAGACAGTCATTGCAGATGTTATCAAATAAATTGCTTTCAGTCTGCTTTCAATTGCTTAAACAGCTATAGACGTCTTCAACATCTGTGAAATGCCCCAAAACAAGACATGAAATACACTTTAAAACGATCTTACATGTTTTTCTCTATTTCGGACATAATAATTACATAGAAAATAATTTATCAAATCCACTGTTCAATTCCAAATGTCTACAAAAATATGAAAAGCAAATTTCAATCAAGAAAGAAAGAAAAACTGTAAAGTTTCTGGTTCGATGCCAAACAACAGGTTGAGATCCTACTAATGTGGTACGACGTTAATGCACTTCGTCCCCTTTTTGCCACAAAGTGTCTACAAAGTGCTTCTGACAGCAGGTGTTGGGGTGGGGGAGAAGTGGCTGAAAGAAAGTGGGGGCTCATCATCTTTCTGTACTAAATGCGATGCAACATTTGGAGGGTTGTAGAGAGAGAGAGAAATGTGTGGAACGGGAAGGGCCCTAAGAGACGCTGGAACATCGAATGGTGGGAGAACCCATCTGTGTCAGCACCTTATCGAGCCACTGCAGCGGGCCGTTCAGGTGCAGCTCGATCCAGCAGGGGGTGCTGGTCACCGTCTGTCGCCTGTAGGACACATGAGGAGAGCACAGACTGATGTTAAGATTGGAGACAAGTCAGGTTTCAGAAATAAAATCCTGCACAGTGCCATAAGAGCTGAGTGATTTGTCCCAGTGAATGACCACATAGTCCCAAAGTAACCAGGCTGGATCAGTGGTGGTTCTTGGATGAGCTGCCACCTCTGCAACCCCTCCTCTGCAGGCCTGAACACCACTGGAGACCAGGACAACTTCACATTTTCCTCTTCCAATTCACATGTATAAATCCCAAGATTTGCCTCTACTGTTTTTATATAACTCCTGACATTAAATAAAACTGTGCTGTAAAGTATTCTTTGTAAGTATGCTCTATCAATACTCACATGACACAAAATTAAAAATGGCTCTGCAGAGCTTTAAAGTTGTATGTGACTACCGCTTTTTAAGCAATAGAAATTAGATTAACACTTTAAAAATCTATAACTATCAAACAAGAATTTGCTGGTGAAGATTCTCATTCATCCAGGTCATAGTCATTCCAAAAAAAGTATATATAAAAAAAAACAATCCACTGGACTTTGTTTCCAAGTTTGAAGATGTCCAGGGGATTGTTTTGTAACCTTTTTGGAATTTCAAACAGGAAGTAAATAGAAAATTTAAACATCTTTCTAGGTATAAATTCCTTCCTCAGGTTTGGAGAAACCCCTGAAAGTAGCTATGTTTTCTATTTTACAGCCGCTTTTAGAGGCACATATCCAATTCATATCTAACTACATTTAAAGTAGTGGACAGACTAAGCAAATAGTAAAATAGTTATTTTTTAGTAAGCAACAATTTTATAAATAAAATGTCGAAATCAGAATGTGGTGTGGCAAGTTATAAAGTATTGCATTTAATTAGAAAAAAGTATAAAAGTATTGAGGTAATTCGGCATTAATAGTGCAGGGTAGGAAAAGGAAAACGATTAAATAGAATGGAAAAATCCTTATTTATTTTATTCAAATTTACATCTCTTTTCTTATCAAGCATCTGGAAAAAAATATGACAGCAAATTCAACATATTTAAGTCACTTTAGCAACCCTAAAAACAAGTCCCTATGCAAACCTTTTCATTAGGTTACCAATCAGGAGGATTAAGAACAAAGAGTTATAATAGCTAGATGGATTTATGGAGGATTTTCAGAAGTTGCATTTGAGAAAACTGCACCAACCCATTAGTTTCTGACAGGATTTCAAAAGCAAACTTTATTTTAAAACACCTAAAATCATGCGGGTATTGGCCGATGCAGTCCTGTTTTTGGATTTTTATAGTTGTCTAAGATGAATGAGATCTTAATTCCCCAAATACATGAATAATAATAAGTGTGTTTGTATAAACTGAAACAAGATTTTATAGCTGGTGTGTGATTTAATACTGAATCACAGACTAGCTTCAGCTATATTAGTCACACAGGTTAGCTCTGTTACTGATTAATTAGCTGGATTCCATACTTGATGAATGACACTGATCTATCATCCAAATCCACTCATTTATATCTTTATTAGTATCACACACAGCAATAGATTTACAGGGAGTTTCAGGCAGTTGCTGTATTTTATATTGCATTTTAAAATCTCAGTGTCCTTTAAATATAAGTGTTATTTGTTTCTCTATGCCAATAATATAAACTTAATTTGTTATCAAATAATATAAGGTTACATTTATATTTGTGTAAATTAGCAGCTTCTATCTTTTACAATGTTTATATAAAAGGACATAGCCAGGTATGTGGTTCATTCATTCAACAGTGGTACTGGATCGGGTACTGCCCGGTGCGCTCAGCCCAGGTATTAGACAGGACCGACTAGTCAGTGTTGCTGACTAGGCTTTTTTGATATACCCAAAGACTCTATCACCCAGGGCAGAGAGCCATATCACCCACAGCAAAATAAAAAGAATTAATCTTTTAAATATAGTAGAAATGTGAATTACACCCTGGATAATGTTGCAGAAACCTTTTTAGAGGGGTTCCTAATGTTTCACTTTTTCTTTTTCCTTCTTATTTTATTAACATTATTTTGTACTGTTTGTATGTTTTATTTCTATCTTCTGTAAAAAAAATTTAAAAAGTGTTCAAGTTTAAGTTTTTTTTTTCCATTTTACAATTTTAAGTCTTTTTTGAGTACAGAACCATGAAAAAGCATGAAAATTGCAATCTTAGATGACGTCATTGTCATATCCTTCAGCTTTGCCCACAGTCTCAAACACTCTTTTAATCAAAGTCTTTATGCTGCATGAGAGGAAAGAGTAAACAAGCTCTTCAAAGCATGATCTAAAACTAGAACAATAGGAGTTAGAAGGCAGCCTCCTACAGCATTGAAGTAGGTGCTTAAAGAAAAGATCAGTAGCAATATTCAGCAGTCTACAGGTTTATAAAAGTTAGATCTGGTTTTAGAATGCTGCAAGAACCAAACCTGCTTCCTCACTCAGCCTCTCTGCTGGCTATTTTCTAAACATGACAGAGACATGACAACTTTTATATGCGTGTCATTATTTCCCTTTCCTGTCGTTCACTTTCTACTCTGCTCCATTAGAGCGTATTTTTTGGTGTGCTTTATTCATTTCTTTATTTTATTTTTATATTGGGTTATATTTGGCTCTTTTTAAGTCCGTTATGATGCTATTATCATGGTGCTTTTTGAATTTTTTTTTTGTCTACCACATTTTACATTTTTGGTTGCATTTTTTGTAAAGGAAAAGAACAAGAGGGAAAACGAAGAGTTTAAAATCATCAAACACTGAACACAGATTGTGAGGGGGGAAGGCAGAGAGAAAGGGAGGCCTGCCTGATCATGTAACCTGAATCCTGTCTTTAAGTGTCTCCACATGTCAGCGTTTGGTCAGGACGGGAGTGGTGAGTAGTTGATCACAGCACAAAGGTATTACCCCGGTCGGAAACTTTCTCTGTGGGGCCAACTTTCAGCCAATCCATCCCACTATCAGTGAGTCAGACTGTGTGGAAAACCAAGAAGACTGAACGAGGGAAAGTCTGACATCTCTTTTTGACACAGCACATGTGTGTGTGTTTAAAAATAGTTGGGCGTGCCAGCAGGGGCCTGGTTCTATTGACGAGGCCACGATGGCGTCATGCGCCGGATCCAGCAGAGTGTGAGCAGATGTGTGAGTGAGCGTGGGCGGCTGGATTTGAGGCGTGATTCACAGTCTGCTCCTATTGTCTCCGTTCACTCGCAGGCTTGCTCTATCAGGTAGTATAATCCTGGCTCAGCAACATTTACAGAGCTTATAGCTCAATAAATAGCTGGTGATTTATCATTTTTGTTTTAGCATGGAAATACTGTTAAAAACTGTTAAGATATTCAGGGACAAAGATATAATTTGAACAAGATAATGTTATAAAAGGCAGCCTAATTCTTGTTCTTTTAAAGTTAAAACTTTTTAAACCTAAAAAAAGTTTGTTTCATTAATTTTTTTTGTCAAATAACCACCTCATTTCCATTAATCTATTGTTTACTCAACCTATAATTTTACTGCACAGTGGTAAACGTCAATTAATTTAGTAGCTTCTAAATTATTAGTAGTTTCTGCTTTTTTAGCAGGAATTAAGTGATTCAAGTTTTGTTTTATCTTGTTTATTAATATTAGGTTAATTTACCAAAATCTACTAAATTTAGCTTCACAATTTGCTCAGTAAATTGCTAAATACTTACCAATAGAAGTGTACTGACAGCCTTATATCAGCCCTAACAAAGGAGGCTTCCATACATAGGATGTGCATGTCAGGAATTTTTTATCTAAATACGTCAAGGATAAGACACTTAAGACTGAAGCATTATCAACGTTGGTTGAAATCAACCCCATAGCCCATTAAAATTAAAGCTTTGATGTGTAAATAATAAAATCCAATATAAAATCTGCTCTTAATCTCATCGATCGCGTTTTCACTGTTACTAACTTATCCAAACAGCAGCAGATGCTTGTACCAACCAGAGTTTCTTTAGTAAGCTGCTGCAACATCTCAGTTGTAAAAGCCAAAAGTCATTTTACCTGTATTCAGCTCCCCAGCCTTTGACGAAGCTCATACGGATGGTGCACATCCTGGTGAGCTGGTAGACAGCCTCGAAGCCCTGGTTGACCGACTGTGCCAGCAGGGCAGCAAACTCCTGGTTGTTGAAGATCTTCAAGTTGCATCCTGGAGGAAAACCACAAGCTGAGTTCAACTGAAGATCCAAACCAGGGTGGTTACAGCTGGTTTCATTTCAATTCAGACATAATTACAATATGCCACGTGACGGGAAGTCACCCTGACTGTTTAACATTGGCAGCCTCAGTGTTTCTCCCTGTAAATCTGTCTGTTTTTTTCTGACTGGGTTTTATCTAATAGTAAAATGAACAACTTATTGTTTCAGTATCACCATATGAAGACAAAACAAAATTCAGGGTTGTTTGTGATTGTTGGTGCTGACTCATTAATGATCAGGGTGATGCATTCACCACATCTGTTCAGAATAATCCGATTTAAGCATCTAAATTAAATAAATCAGTTTAGCTGTAACCCTGCCTTTTATTTATTAACATTGTCAGCTGCTTTATAAATAAAAGGCAGGGTTTAATTCAAGATAAAACTACTTTTTGGAAACCCTTAAAACTTCTATTTTTTCACTAAACCAAATGCTTATGAAAGGCTGATGAATCCAAGATCGCTTTTCTTAAACCCAGCTTATTCACTCCCAGGTTTTTCCATGGACTCTGTGCACTACTCACACACCTGGGGGGATTTTGCAGACTGTGGCCGGATGCCAACCGTAACGCTGATTACAGTTGGGGCTCTGGACGAAGATAGCGCTGTCACTGAGACATTCTGCAAACACTTCTCCTCCGATGTAGTACAGCCGCACACCTCGACCTAAGAGGGAACAGAGACGGAAAGGCAGATGTCACAGTGACATTAGACAGCGGCAGCAGTTATTAGACCGGTTTAGGGTGGAGTGAGGAGGCCCACCTATGTGCCTGCGTGTTAACTCCACTGCTGCATTGCGGTTGACGTTGGATAGCAGGCCGAGGCAGAAACGCTCTGAGTTGGAGGGGTCTGTAAATCCATCCACTGTCAGCGAGGGCTGCGAGGCGTGGAAGGTCTCTCCTACTCGCTGGTTCAGCTCGTAGTATGAAATAGAGCACCAGAAGGCCGGCTCACAGTATGTCACAGGGTGGAGGTCTGAGAGAGAAGCAGATAAAGAAGGTTGAGCAAAGATGCAATTTAAAGTCCTCTAAGGCAGACAACAAAACAAATGGGAGAGGAATTAAAAAGGGGGGGCGAATATTGAGAAGAAGGTGGATGGATTCATATTTGGGGGGAAATTGTGAGAGACAGAAGGTAAATACTACCTGAAAAAACTTTAGTGAAAGCTTGCATCAGAAAATGTCACAGCTCTATGCTACTTCCCAGAAACTTTGACCAAACAAAACGAGGAAACACAACCCACGCAGAAAGGATGCAAGAACCCAAAAAAAAAAGGAAAAAGTACGATTACAGGCTCATCAGTGGTTGTCTTCAGCAGTCAGACTAGTTCTGGTCATTTGCTCACTTTCAGCAATCTCTAACAGCTACTCTTTTCTCAATCAGTGGTGGCGTCCCAGCTGAGTCCCACCAATGTCTTCTCTCAGCCACAGAATAAACACTGGATGTTTTTATTGACTTTAGTGTGGACTGAGCAGTCTTGGTCTGTTTAAATGCTCACATGGTGGGCGTGAAAGACAAAGCATTCTTTCATCATCTCATTTCCTCTTAACAAAACCAAACAGACAATTTCCACGCAGGGGGGGGAATACTGAAGCAGCAACACACTAAGACAAACAGTTCTCACCTAAGTTACTGTGTGTGGGTGAGACGGGGTTCGGTGACAGGCTTGGGGAGCTTGTGTCCATGCTGTGGGTCATCTGGTGATCACTAGTTTCTCCATCTTCACTGAGGTAGCCCGGCGGTGGCGTTTCTGAGACACAGAAAACATGTAAAGGTGACATGATCAAATCTGGGGAACAAGTCTGACAGAATAAATTATATCATGCCATTGTATTCCACCTGCTTTTAACAGGAAACAGATGTTTTGTTTGTTCTTTTTCAATTAGACTTAGACAGATTTACAGACAAATTTTGTCATTTTGTATACACAAGTGTAAACAAAAAGAAATTTCATTTAGAACAGCTCTCTAGACAATTTCCCTTTTTAAAGTGTAGCCTTGATAAGGTAAGCAGCAGTTGTTGTTGAGCTGCTACTACTGCCTCCAGCTCCTGCAGCACTTGCTTCTCCTGGCTCAGGGGAGGAAGAGGACGATGATGATGATGCTGTGAGGGTGGTAGCCCCCTGGGTTGAAGAGGTTAACGTGGCTGAAGCAGCAGTGGTGGCATCGGCAGGTTTAGCAGCGACAGACGATTCTGGAGAAGGTGTGGAAGCCGGAGGAGCCGGCTGGGGATGTTTCAGCATTTGCCAAAGAAGCATCTAGAGTGCTCTCCTCGTTTTCACCTGCAGAGGGCTATGCTTTCCCTCTAGATGCTGAAGATTAGCTGGGAACAGTCTCAGAGGAGCGTCCTTCATGCAGAGCTCTTGGTTTCTATCGCGGGGTACAGCATCAGCTTCCACAGTCCAACCGCAACGTCCGGTATGGCTGGACACAGCCAAGATTCCGTCAGAATGATGGCGCAGCAGTTACATATCTCCTTTTTTGAAGAGAGTTTGAGTCGGAAATTATCCATTTTGTTTTCCAAAGAATGGACGTTGGAGAGCAGAACTGATGGAAGCGGCAGTCTGTGGGGATCGCTCTTTAGCCTCGCTTTCTCCGTCTTCCTCCGTCCGTTATTGTCCGCTGTTTTTTTGTTGACATCCGTCTGTAGCACTCTGCAGCTTCTTAAACAGTCAAAAATGTCAGTATTTAAAACATTTTGTGACCGTAGCTCCAGCAGGCGTTGGCGATCATAGATGCAGGTTTGATGTCTAATTTGTATAGTTTTAAGTGGCATATTTGTAAAATTGTCGAGAGGAGCTGTTCTTGGCTAACCCTGCCTTAGAGCCCCACTATGGTGCCATATAAGAGGGCTCATACTCTAAATATAGAAACTAGTATATTCAAATTGGAATTGGTGTTTGTAGTTTGGTTTTGCAGCTGCAGCAATCCAGAGGATGACAATACTGTATTTGCAGAGATTAAAAGACACACAATGTGAGTCATCTGTGAAGCTGTGCTGGTACCTGGTATGTAGTTGCTCTGGGGCTCGATGCCGGCAGGAAAATTGGTGTTTTCGGGGATTGAATGGCTGTAGTCGTCCAGCGGGGGGAACTCACTGGGGATTTCTGTGTGCCTGGGCACCAGCACCGGTGGGAGGACTGAGACAAAGAGAAAGAAAAAAGCAGATAACATTTCTATCCTGAGATTATAACAAGAGCTGATGTAAGATTTTAACAAAAAAATAAATAAATGAAGTTAAAGCTCATAACAGTTTCTGTTTTAAACTAACAGGAAAACCTGCAAAAAATACTCGTTAAGAGAATAATGGACATAGAAATTTACATTAAAAAGCACATATCAGGTCAGAATACAAAATATAAAAAACATTCTCTTTTCAAGACTCTTTCCTGCAATAAGTTGCATGATCACCTGCCTCCCAGCAGTCATACCTGGGGTCTCTACTCTCTGGTAGTGGTATGGGTTGACACACACTTCATCCTTCTTGGTGTGGAAGGCGTACTCGCACAGCTCCACTGCTCGCAGCTCATGGTGAGACTGCAGGTCGGGCCAGCGCCACAGCCGGCAGTAGATGACGTGAGGCAGGCCCTTCCTGTGGGACACCTGAAGGCGGCCATCGAGGGACCTGTAGAGAGAGGCAAGAGAGTCAGTCAGTAGTGTTTCATTTTTAGGGCTAAACTCAGGTAAATTATCAGAGAAAAAAAAGAACAACTCATGTGGTTTTTGTTATTGTTAGTTGTTGTAGTTTTTCAATAAACAAAAACAATCAATCATTTAAGAAGTCTTAAAGAATTAACATTAAAGAGTTAACATTATTAAGAGATAAAGACAAAAAAAAGTCTTATCTGATATTATTGTTTGCAAAAATGTGTGGAGAAATATCCAGTGAATCATGATCTTTCCAGTAAAATGCACATCTAATTATGATGATTTTTGTGTTTTGAAACTTAATTAAAAATAAAATTCAAATAAAGTTATATCTTGGTTTTTCTTTAAAGGTTGAAGATTTACTCCTTTATTATTTATTATGTTCAAGAATCAATAGGATAGTAACTGCAGTCAACTAAAGAGATTAAAGGAGACTTTTGTGAATTATGGCTTAAACTATAAAATTTTCCTGGCAATATGAAACTTCCTGACAGAGTATGGAAATATTTTTTTCTTCCTCTCTGCTAACAAAAGGCTGTAGATTCTACTAAAAGCTTAGGAAGAACATATCTCTGGCCTCTTAAACAAAACAACCTCTGATTTTATACTGGTTTTAACCACTTAGCGCTCTAAAATGACCTGCTGCTGATGAATACACAAGCTTAAGCCCACTTCATATGACAGCGTGTCTAAAAATAAACCACTGGAAATTAGATTATGTATGCGTTACAGGAATTTCATTGTTTAATAAAACATCTGCCCTCATCTGGGATAAAAAAAAAATACTGGCAGAGGGATTGAGGTCAGCTGATATCACAATAGGTTAGTACAGCCTCTTATTTTTGAGCACAATGGCCCATGGTAAAAATATAAATAAATAAAAGCTCAGCATGTTATGCAAGAGTCGACATTCACATGTGTCCCCTCTTTCTCACTGTCTCACCCATTGCAGAGAAACTAAGACTAAGGGTCGAAGGCTTTAACAAAACAACAGTTTTAGACCAAAACCAGAACATCTTGGTATTGAAAGCAAAGCAGGGCCACTCTTATTTAAGTTTTTTATTATTTCATGCCTAAAGTTTTTGCCCACAACGTCTTTGGCTCCTTAAGGTTTTGACTCTGTGCTAACAGGAGACTTTCTCTGGGGCTTTTGAGCTCTTAATAAAAAAAATAGATGAAAGCTGAATCAACACTGATTTTTAAAACCAAAGCACTACATCCCACATGAGTTTTTCAAGCTAATAAATCTGAATAAAGCAGTAAACAAGAGCCAACTCATTCAATCCCTAAATCAACTACAAATTTTAAAAAAAAAGTGGTTATCCAGCATTCACCTCCAAAAGACAATAAACACTGCAACTAAGATAAAAGAAAATATGTCTAGCTTAAACAGTAGAGTGAATATAAAAACCACCAGCTTTGTCTGTAGGCTTCACTGAAACTGAAATGATCTGCTGTGTGTTTAAGGCAGCAGTGGTAGCAGTGGGAAAATGTTTCCTGGGATCATGATAGTAACACCAGGAGTTTCCTCTGTCTCGCATGTGGTAGATAAGACAGTCTGGCTGACAATATGGCTGGTGTCTGCTCACAGAACCCTAACAACAAACAACACAGCTCAGTGCAGAGCTTGATTTTGGATTAGAGTTCAAGTTAGACATTTAACAAAAGTTATAGTAGCAGCTGCTCCACAAGACCCAATCTGTAAACTTTCACTAAAACCGAGTGATGACGCGATAGAGTTCTAATCCCCACAATAAAATCTCCCTCAGCAATGCTGATAAAAAGCATTTTCTAATGCATTTTTAAAACACAAAATGAATTATTTTTTTAAAAAACTTAATAAATAAACCAATCCTCCTGGGAGTGCAGTTCCTCTTTTCTTATTTCAGTGTTCCTGTTTAGTATATTTTCTGATGAATAACAGACTGCTTCCTTTAACCACATTTCATAACCATGTGCTATTTATGAACGATTGCAGAAGATTGTCAGTCCTTTTTATACCTCTGAATGTTTTTAACAAAGCCTGTCTATAGAAGCGATCAGTCAGACCTTGAACAGCGTATAAAAACAATTTACTTCATCAAAGACGGAAGACATCATCAGAAAGCCCAGAGGAAGGTTTCTAAAACGTCACTGAGATGAGGTAGGACATATGAAAAGGGCAGTGGATTAAATCAAATCAGAAGCTGAAACTTACTGAAAGTACAGGAAGAAAAACAAGAGGAGGTACTGAATGAGTCACATTAAAAGCTGCTCTCTTGATCTACTGTGACAGGAACACGAGTCACACAGGGTTGACCTGATGTTGTCGGTATGTGTGTTTGGTCTATGCTGATCAATGAGAGTGTTGTGGAGCTGAGTGGGCTGAAACAGTCATCCAGGGTTAATATAGACTGTCCAGGTTGTGTAAAGACTGGAATTTATTCAGAAATGAATGACAGCTAACAAATCGTATTCACTACTATGTTATGAAAAGAAAAGAATATCCTGTTTTAATTGCTTTGTTTGCTGTCTGCAGACAATCATTCAAATTGAAATGTTTGAGTTGCATCTGCTGATCAGCAGACTTTGTAAAACTTGAAGGTACGGTGGTTTACACAGGGAACCACAAACTTATTGTACTTCTAGGCATAGTCAGTATACTTTTATATTGTGGTATATTTGATTCAAAACTACAATCAAAAGCAGCAGATACAGGCTAAGGAGGCCTGATTGAGAAACACCTGAAGCAAAATATTAATAACTTGTTTTAAAGCCAGAGATATATTCAGTTCCTAAAAACAGTTCAGATTGATTCAAGGCTCAGTGTTTGTTAGCATGTCAAAGAGGAAAGGCAGAGGGATTGGCTATGATCCCACATTCCCTGCTGGGCTCTGTTGTGCGTTTGTGTTTGTCTCTAGATTTTTAGGACAAAGGTATAAAGCCTCTTAAATAATCAAAAAAAGAACTTATTCAACAGCTGATAAACGATCCGCTAAAAGGTAACTGGATCCAGAGATTACTTACTTATTAATAACTTGCATGTACTGGAGGAATGTATCAATCCGTATCAATCCAATCACAAGATTGAGCTTTGCCTAACCACTTTATTTTTAAATAACTGAGGTTTTTGAGAAAACTCAATTCCCAAATCCTGGGGTGGCTTGTGATGCAGCGGCTGTCCCATGTGCAGGGGCTCCAGAGGTGTGACGCAGCCATCTGGAGTTCGATTTCCAACCTTGGGACATTTCCGACATGTTTTAATTTTTACCTCAGCCAAAAAGGTTATGTTTTTAGGAGAGTTTGTGAGTTTGCCTGTCTGTGTACAGGATAGCTTAAAAATTTATGTATGGATTTGAATGAAAAGTGTGTCCCTTATGCCATCGAACAATCCGTTAAATTTTAGGGATAATCTAGATCATAATCTGGATACAGGATTTATTGGGAGCCCAATAGTGACTATTGACAGTCTCAGCATCAAACTCAAAAAGTCCAAAAGGTATTTTACTTAAGACAAAAACATAAGAAAAAGGGAATGTTGTTGGATTAACCAGATATATTGAAAACTTATGAACATTTTTTACCAGAGATGCGACTCACGCCAAATAGCAATTCACTTAAATTTGGTAATGATTTAGATCATGTGTGAGTTTTAGCTATAGGTGTAAGTCACAATTTAGGGGAAAATTAAGTGCTGGTTGAAGGTGTGTTCACAAGAGCCTTTCTCCTTTTTTTTCCTTTGTTTCTGAATATTCTACCAAACATTTTTGTTAACCTTAAAATAATCAGGGGTATCCTTTAAATACAATACAATAACTTTTTTTTCAGCTTTTGATTCTCAAATTAAAGACTGTGTTGGTTGTTGCAGGCTCCGCTCTGTTGTGAATTGACCTTTGGTCATTCAGGCATTCCTGGATAGTTTTTGATTTGAAACAGACCATTATAGAAAGAAGCTGAAATGTTAAGTCATATCATGCTGTTCAATGCAAAGTATAAGGAGCCTGATCTACAACTGAATGATGAGCAGCCAGTTTGGGAATGGCCATAAAAGAAACATAAAGTCATGCCATGAAGATGCATTATGATAACGATTAATATTACTTTTAGTGCACTTTACATCATTATTTGAAGATGCCACAAACAAAAGTAGAAAATGTAATAAATAACGCGATCAAAAATCGCAAACATGAATTAAAAAGATTAAATATCAATTATAAAACCTGGAAAACCTAACACGGTCAGATTTACACAGAGATAAAGCTCCAGACCAAAGGTCTTGGATTAGTGGACCAGGGTCCGGACCCACCTGCCGGCTAATCTGGACCCAACCGAATTTAAAACATTTATAAATTATTGCATGTTGTCAGACAACTGTGTCTAACTTCACTTGCGCCACTTCTTCTGTTAATATCGTAAAGCCCTCCGGAGCGTCCTGGACCAGGCTGCATGAGATACAAATTAGCCAATGAGCTGTGTCGGTCTGGGTTGCTGCTGCTAGCTCTTTTTAGACACAGCAGGCAAACCTGTGGCAAGCCAGGCGATGGAAAGAAGGAGAAGACGATGAGAAAAAGAAAGCAGAGAAAGTGTGGACTGCTGGAAGAACTGCAGTGAACGGGTGAAAGAAATGTGAAATGGCGTGCTTAAAGATGGCCCCAAACCCGGGTTTATAAGCCTTGTAGGGCATCGTAAAGCCCAGTTCTCTCATTAGGCCATAAAAATAGAAAGAAAAAAACAAACAAACAGCCAGTTCAGGTGTTTTATAAAATATGTGAATCAGGAAATTATCTTTATACCTAACTGAAAGATTGTGAGTTTGCACATGACTTTCATTTGTGCAAAATATAGATGCAAAAACTGCACACAAAATAAGCTTCACGTTTGATAGATCACTTTGAGGATGGTATTACATCGCCATATGATCCACCTACAGTTTTGCTGAGTTTGGTCATTAGAATAGGAATTTCGTAATCATAAAGCTACAAAGTCACGCACAATTTG